ACAGGGACAGTTAGTTCTAGCCTGCCCTAGGAGTCAGCAGTCAACTTGGCAGTGAGTTTGTTTGCTTTTTCATTTGCATATTTTATTGTGATTTGTGTGAAAGTGTCCAGAGCACATTAGTTTCACATTCAACAGTTATGCACGTTTTGTCTCCCGACATTAGTTGCAATCCCCTCCCTGTGACAACTCTCCCCACTTCCTCTCTGGTTCCATCTCTCCTGCCCCTCCCTGCTCTCTGCACTTCACTCTGACCCTGTTTGCTCCTCTTTTCATACCCCCCTCCTTGACTGCCCGCGGCCTTCTGGTTGCCACCACCCCCCCCCAACGCCAATCCACAATCCACGTAGTGTTGTGACAGAAAAGGAAACTTGTGGAGCCGCTTTTGGGTCTACCCTCCCCAGAGAGGAAAAAGTTATTCTCATAGATTTGCATTATGTTTTATGGGCTTTTATATTTCTTTGTATTCTAAACAGTACAATTTTATGAGAGGCCTTTTACCTTTTGAAGTCCCATAGTAAATTAACAAAATGACTTTAGCTGCTCAATATTTTCCATTTTATCTGATTGTCTCCTTTATTTCAAATGGAAAAATACATAGTGTGTTTCTTGTCGTAGCTCCTGCTGTTTTTTAAAAATCGCACATCTCTAAGTGAATTGCCCTATTACACATTCAGCTCCACAATATTATTTCACCATGATTTTAAGCTCCATGAGGACAGACATTGACATCTATTTTAATATGCTATACTTATTGACGTTTGGCCTCCAGAGATCAGGTCATGATGGGAAAGTTGGTGTTATGCAAAAAGGGGGTATGACTACATTGGTAGATCACTGAGACTCAGGCATGGCCAAGGTGACACAAGACCTTCACCATTCCAGTCATCATTACTCTCGTCTCCCACTCCGCCATCATTGTGGACAGGTGTGTGTCATGAGTGCACAAAATAAGTAGTGTTTTTTTTTTGTTTGTTTACTATAGTCAGAAATGTAAAATGTTGGGTAACATATTTAGGTGTAGGTGTGCTCCCAATACCTAGAACCATGCCTGGCACTCAATAAATACTTGTTGAATCAATGATTCTTACTGTGCAGAGTAAACGTGACTGTGTGTGTCGATGCAATGTGAACATACCTCCGTGCGGCTAAGAAACAGCGCTGAACAGAGAACAAGCCGCTGAGAGAGTTGGGTGAGGGATCAGCCTGCATGAGTCATGAGTTGGGATACAAATGTGTGCACCATTCCTGAGGCCAATGCTTGGAGATTTGGGGGTAGGAAACAGACTGAGTTCAACCTCATAAACCTTTCATCTAGTTCTTTGAAATAGATTTGTTTCCAGCTGAGTCAGAGGGAAAAGCCAGGAATAGAATCCCCACTTTGTAGAGCCACCCTCTGTGCCCCCCAACCTGGCCTTTGGAAGGCAGAAGCAGACGCAGGAAGCTCTCCCTGCATTAGCCCATGGCGGACTCTCCAGCTGCGCGCAGGGTGTCCCTGTGCCCTGCTGGGGCACAGCTGGAAAGCATTAGAGTGGCTGGAAAGCAGATTGGCTGCCCTGCACATGTCCCTCTGTCCTCTTCCAGGACACCTCCGTGGCCACACCCCCTGCCTGCCAGGGTTCTGTCTGCTTACTCATTGCACTTATCTCCCTGTTTTAGGATTTTATTCCTGGGTGTGTGCCCTGGTAAACAGTGAGATCCTTCTTAGTAGGGAGTCTCTGCCTGGCTCCGGGACTGGCTGGGCATTTTCAACCTTTTGTTCTGATTTTGATTTGCTGTTAAGAATCAAAAAAATCTTTTGTTTGTTCACTAAATAAGCATTTGCAGGGTCCTACTATAGGCTGCGGCATTTGTTGAATGACAGCACGCAAAATAAAGAGTGGAGGGTCTGAAAGATGCTAAGTCCCAAGCCTTGAAGGTGTCTCACGGGAAGCTGAAAAGCACCTGGTAGTAGTAATTACTCAATACCAATCACAGGAACCCTGGTGGGTTAGGCGCTGGGTTGCTAACCACGAGGTCCATGCTCTAACCTACCTTAGATGTACAATCTGGTAAGTGGTTTATAGGATTGCTATGAGTTGTAATAGACCCAATGGCAGTAGGTGGGTTGATGCTGCCAGTTAAGGAGTGCTGGTAACGTAGTGGTTAAGGCGCTTGGCTGCTAACCAAAAGGGCAAAGGTTCAAAACCACCAGGCATTCCAAAGGAGCAAGATTGGGCAGTCTGCTTCCATAGAGATTTTTATAGCCTTGGAAATAGGATGGAGCAGGTCTCCTGTGTCCTAGAGACTCACCATGAGTGAGAATCGATTCGGTGACTGGGTAGTATGCCAGTTGGAGTCCCTGAGGGTTGCAAACATGCTCAACTTGTTCAAAGTTTAGTGGTTCTAGTCCGCCCCAAGGGGCCTCAGCGAAGGCCTGGCAATGTACTCGCAGAACAGCAGCTATTGAAAACCCTGTGGGGCACAGTCCTACTCTGACCTCCGTGGAGCTACTGTGGTCGGAAGTCCATGGACAACTGGGTTTTTTGTTTTTTTTAATCTTTTTATTGGGGGCTCATACAACTCTTATCACAATCCATACATCCATCCATTGTGTCAAGCACATTTGTACATTTGTTGCCATCATCATTCTCAGAACATTTGCTTTCTGCTTGAGTCCTTGGTATCAACTCCTGATTTTTTCCCCTTCCTTCCACGCCACCCCCATGAACCCTTGATAATTTATAAATTATTATTATTTTGTCATATCTTACCCACTCCCTTCACCCACTTTTCTGTTGTCCATCCCCCAGGGAGGAGGTTATATGTAGATCCTTGTAATCGGTTCCCCCTTTCTACCCCACCTTCCCCGTATTGCCACTCACACCACTGGTCCTGAAGGGATCATCCGCCCTGGATTCCCTGTGTTTCCAGTTCCTGTCTGAACCAGTGTACACCCTCTGGTCTAGCCAGATTGGACAACTGTTTTTTATGCTAATCACTCTCCTCAGTTCCTCTCCTAAGTCAGCTCCCACAACAACCTTATAAGGCACATATTTTTATTACCCCGGTTTCATAGATGAAAATGTGTTGGGATAACAGTTGTATGAGCCCCTAATAAAATGTTAAAAAAAAAAAATGATCTTGATACCAACCTGGGAGGTCACACGCCGAGCCCCACGCTCTGCAGCCTACCTCCTGTCTGCCCACAGAAGACCAAATGGCCATAATTGAAGCATCGGGGATAGAGAGTTTGATGATTTTTTGCTTCTGTAAACTAATTGTCCTACCAGAAACTGCTATAACTGTTTAAAAATCAACCCAGGCTTTATTTAAAGCAAACCATTAGGAGTAAATCCCAATTCATGTCGAACATTTCTATACTGTCTATCTCATCCCTTTGTTGTCTTTAGAATTAGATCTCCTGAGAATCTAATATCCCGACCAAAACCTCACTGCCATTGAGTTGATGCCAACTCATAGCAACCCTGTAGGGCAGGGTAGAACTGCCCCTGTGGGTTTCCAAGCCTGTAACTCATTTGGGGAGGAAAAACAATGTTTTTGGTAATATTTTTATTGACATATAACTCTCCTTTCCCTCCATTCCACCCCCCACCCCCACCCCACCCCACCCCACCCCACCCCGGGCCGCAGCCCTTACCATGCCCTCAAGGAACCTTTATTCCTGTCGCCATCTCTAAGGGGTTATCTCTCGTCATTACCATGACCTTAAATATGCAAATGAACACATGCAAATCTAATATGATCAATGAGGTACAACACATAAAGACCATAATAGTAAAGGGAGGAAATCTTAAGAGAACTAGAGGCTATTTATGTATTTCATCAGTGCTACCCTGCACCCTGGATATATCATCCCTTCCCTGTGGCCCTTCTGTGAGGGACTGTCCAATTATCTTACAGGTGGATTTTAGGTCTCCACTTTGTCTATGCTCTTTCACGTCAATCTGATTGCTTGTTTTTGAATTTCTGATACCTATTGCCGTCGACACTTGATGATCACACAGTCTGGTGTGCTTCTTCCATGTGGGCTTTGTTGCTTCCCTGCTAGATGGCCGCTTGTTCAACTACATGCCTTTAAGACCCCAGGACTATATCTTTTGGTAGCGGAGCACCGTCAGCATTCTCCGTATTTGCTTATGCATCCATATTGAGATTAACTCTTTACAGGAGTAGAAAGCCCCATCTTTCTCCAGAGGAGTCGCTGGGGGATTTGAACTGCTGAGAATTACTGCAGAGTAGAATTGCCCCCATTTTTTTCCTAAGGCTATAAACCTTCACAGAAGCAGACGGCCGTGTCGTTCTCCTTCAGAGTGCCTGGTAGTTTTGAACCGCTGGCTTTTTGGTTAGCAGTCAAGTGCTTTAACCACTACTCCACTAGAGCAGCATCTAATCTAGAATGACTTCACCCTATTTTAGAGATGGAAGTCTTGGATGTAGCCCCATAGGAACATGGTGAAGCTGTGAAAATAGGGGTTGAAGCCATTTGATTATCATGGTTTGCTCCTGGAAAGGGGAGCCCCAGCCCATGTGTAGGCAGTAGAGAAGAGGTGCCGGGCAGGGACCACCCTCCTAAGAGCTTGTCACTACCTGAGGGCACCAGAGCCTGGACGCTGCCGCCCCCACCCCTGCAGCTTCATTCAGGCTCCTCAAAATCAAAAAGGATTTGCGAGTGGAGGGAGGACCCCCAACAGCTGACGTGGCCTTTTTGTTTGGCCCCAGTGAAATAAATGAGGCCTGAAGTTAGGCAGTTAGATGCTCTAAGAGTCTTGGGGTGGCTTTGAACCCTGGCCCATTTGCAAGAAGCAAATTAGAAGCTCTGGACACCAGGTGTGGGAGGCCCAGAGCTGTTCCAGGCTGCATCTGGGATTCTAAATTGCTTCATTGGTCCTCCCTCTACCGCTCCCAACCCGCACATACACAGCCCCATCAGAAAGAAACCAGAAACTGATTCTGCGGGTCCCAAGTGGTTTGTGATAGGGTGGAGATAGCGCTGGAGGCCCTGTGATTTCCCTAGGACACAACGAGCAGGGTCCCCCTCTAACGCTCTCTTCTCTCTCGGCTGGAAGTTAAATGAACTGGTGGTGGGCGACACCAGCGGGAAGCTGTCGGTGTACAAGAACGATGACCGCCGGCCATGGCTCACCTGCTCCTGCCAGGGAATGGTCAGTATTCAGCTCGCAGGGTCTTGAGGGAGGAAGTCCCAGGGCTGTGGGGGTGAGTCTCAGACAGAACAGCACACCGACATGTACTAACTCACTGCCCACCAGCTTTGATCAATGGAATCTGGAAGGAACACCTCCCAGGCTTGCCCGTCTGCCCTCGCACTCAAGGCAGCGAATCTCGTTGTCTTTGGAGTTTTACTCCCTGTGGGCTTTATGCAAACTGCCTCCCCTGGCCGATCCTAGAGAGGGTAGCAGAGAAGTTTGACCAAGCCTCACTGTCGTTAGAGGCCGTGGACTTGGGACTCACAGAGACCCCATGAACAGCACATGAGCCACCACGGGAGATCTGACCGACGACAAGGGGTGGTGGAGTAAGTCTAGGAGGTCTCCCATCTGGCTAGAGGAGAGGGCTTGAAAATGCCCACAAGAAAATGGAGGTGGAGGAACTTGGGGGTCTTTCGATGCAGTTTCTGAAGCCTCCTCTTACGAGAGGTAAGGAGCCCTCGTGATGCCGTCCGCAGCTGCAGCCCACCCCTGCTCCAAGGGAAAAAGACGGACAGCCCCGAGGACCCCACAGAGGGTCGCTGTGACTTGGCATTGGCTCAGTGGCTGTAGCTGTTGTCTTTGTATCAGATGTAGTTTTCTGGGTTGTTGGGTTTGTTTGTTTGTTTAAGCCAAATTGCCAGGCCACCGTGTTGCTGCTGGGGAAAGCTGAACCATAGCCTGCCGACTCGGTTCTGGGCACCACCTGTGCTGGTCAGCTGGCACCCGCCTTCAGGAGGTGGTGGCGATCGGGTAACACTGAGACCGTGCGTTCTGCCTGTGCCTCCCTCAGCCTCTCTCTCTCCTCTTGCAGCTGACTTGTGTTGGGGTTGGAGATGTGTGCAGCAAAGGGAAGGTAAGAACTCTGGGAACCTTGGGGCTCGGCTAGCACACCAAGGCCCCCTCTTGACCCCAGTCTCAACCTGGAAATGGACTGAGAGCTGCAGACTTCCGCCCCAATCGCTGCGACCCAACTGCCCCACACTCCTCCCCTGTACCTTGTCGTGCACAGAACCTGGTGGTGGCTGTGAGTGCCGAAGGCTGGCTTCACCTGTTTGACCTGACGCCTGCCAAAGCCCTGGATGCTTCTGGGCACCACGAGATGCTCTCGGGAGACGAGCAGCGCCCCGTCTTTAAGCAACACATTCCGGCCAACACCAAAGTCATGCTCATCAGCGACATCGGTGGGCACAGCGACCTCTGTAGCCAGTAGTCGGGGGAGTAGGCGTCAGTAGGCCATAGAGCAGGTCCCAAGGGGCTGAGGGGAGTGGGTGGGGGGTATCAGTATTCATTTGTGTGTGTGGTTTTTTTGTATTTCATGTGGAGTTGTTGAATTCCCATTGTGAGCCAGACATTGTTCTAAGCACGAAGATGATCAGCAGCAAATAAGACAGACAAAATTGCTGGTCTCTTGGAGCCTAGTAGGAAGAGACAGGAAATAAAAGAAGCACTTTAAAAATACTGACTAGTGTCCAAGGGACTTCAACATGTTCCTGGAAGAATTCCTTGGTCTCTTCCTTCCACTTTCCCCTCAGCTTGCTCAGCCCCCCTCGTGCCTCAGATGGCAGCAGTAGTGCAGGGAAAGGGGAGCACAGAAGTGGGGGGGAGTTTGGAGGTGGCCCAGAGGGTGGCCGTTTCCCCTGAAGCTGTCCAGGGAGCCCTTGCTGAGAAGGTGACCTTTGATCAGACGCAGGAGGAGGTGATGGGAGTGAGCCGTGCAGATCAGAGGCTGGCACATTTAGGCCAGAAGTAGTCCATTCTGATTCCTGGCAACCCTAAAGGGGCAGGGTGGAACTGCCCTTGTAGCCTCTTAGGGAGTAGAAAGCCCAGTGTTTCTCCCGAGCGCCTGGCTGGTGGTTTCGAACTGCTGACCTCTCTGTTAGCAGCCCAACTCGTAACCACTACACCACTTCTGGGCGGTGTATCGGGGAGCAGGAGTAGGCAAGAAGGGGCAGGACCTGCAGAAAAAGGGTAGCGTGTTCCCAAGCACAAGGAAAGGCATGGGAGCTGGTCCCAGACTCAAAGCGCTCCAGGTCGGTAGCCCAGCAGACTGGGCACAAAGATACACTGGCCAGCAAGTGACAGTGGTGGGGGTGTGGTGAGCAGAGCACTGGAGGGTGTTTGCAGACTCAAGCTGCAGGAGCGCAGATCTGGCTCCGCAGCCGCCCTGTTCTCTGCACCCGCAGATGGAGATGGGCTCTGCGAGCTGGTGGTCGGCTACACAGACCGCGTCGTGCGGGCTTTCCGTTGGGAAGATCTGGGTGAGGGCACTGACCATCTGAGTGGGCAGCTGGTCTCCCTCAAGAAATGGATGCTGGAAGGTCAGGTGAGAACCCAAGCTTGGGGACGGAGGAGGAGCCCAGGGCTTGGAGGAGGAGATTTCCCAAAGGGGGTTTGTGGGAGAAACAGGCATGAGATATGGCAGAGGGGGGAACAAAGGGAAATAACCTTGTGGAATGAGGCCCCCCCAAAGGATATTTTTGAGTCAGGCCTTAGGAGACATTTCTAGAACTAGGCAAAAAGACAAGAACTGTGGACTAAGCATTAAGATTGTGTGGGGTGTGGGCCCCTGTGCACAGGTGGCCTGTGAGGAGCAAGCACCAGGCAGCAGCCCAATGAGCTCTAGAATTCGCCCTCCCCTTGCCGCCCAGTGCCCTGCGCCAGCTACACGGTCCTGATCCCTCCTCTCCACCTCCCCTTGAGCCTCTCCCTTGAGCCCGCAGGTGGACAGTCTCTCTGTGACTCCAGGACCCCTGGGCATTCCTGAACTGATGGTATCTCAGCCAGGCTGTGCTTATGCAATTCTTTTGTGCACGTGGACCCAGGACACGGAGTCCCCTCCTGCCTCTGAGGGGGCCACGGAGGGCAGCAGGTAAGAGAGTGGGGGCCGTGGATGGTGCGGGGTGGCATGGAGGCAAGATGAGCTCCGAGGTGGCTTGTGGTCGTGAGATGGGCCTGCACTTAACAGTGCTCCTTCATCTAGGTCCCAGTCCAGGTGTCTCTGCCCTTAGGATCCCAGGAGTCCTGAGCTTTAACCTTCCAGCACCTGGGAGAAAGTGGAGGCTCCCAGTCTTGCCACTCCAGCCCTCATCTCCCCTTGCATGGGTCAGATGGGGCTAGCAGTAGGTGTCCCAGTGGGTTCATAGCCCAGAAGCCCTGAGAGGCAGAGGGCCCCCAGGTATTAGAAAACAGCTCCCTTGGTCTTCTGCTTAAATTGCCCATATTCTCCTGCCCATAGGGAGCCCCCTGCTGCCAGAGATGTGGTACTGCACCAGACATCTGGCCGTATCCACAACAAGAATGTATCCACTCACCTGATTGGTAACATCAAACAAGGTGAAGAGGGGTTGGTGGGG